CACCTACCGCCGATGCAGCCTTTTAGAAATAGAGTGCTCGATCTAGCTTGCGTGGGTGTGTTTTTTGTTTGTTATTCGCCAAAGAAGTTTTGCGGGTTTGCTCCTTAAAATCGCTTTTTTGCTGCTGGGAAGTGTGATGCGATGTCAAAAAGGGAGCGGTGATGCGTGCGCGAGAATATTGAGGTGGTTCATTGGTTACTCATAAGTACGTGGTAATCCATGCATTTTTACTTTTTGGAGCTTGGTTTTTTTTTTTTTTTTTTTTAATTAGATAACATCATTGATTATTCAATTCTAAAACCTCCAAGTGTATCAATTTCGATTTTTCATCATCCATATAATAAGTAAGTACTGAGGTTTGAGATGATTGGACGTCGTTCCTTTCTAGAACTTATTTTTTAGTTGGAACAATTTTTTTTTTTTTTTTTTTATTTCAGAGTTGTATTTTCAAGAACTTTTTCAATACATCTATGCGCAATCTTGACTTTTCCCATTTTTTTTGTAAAGTTAACATAATTTTGTCACCCAAGTTTTGTTATTTAATATCAAAAACTAATACTCATGGATTCATATGTTTTCAAGTAATTTCTGTTGTGTAACGAACTTCTTAAGCGTTACCCTGTTGTATAATTATTATGGATAACTATATATAATTATTTTATACAGGATATCAAGATTTTAATCTCGATATACACGCGGCGAATGTCGGAATATTGCTATAGCAAGCTTTTTCACTAGTTACATGATGGTACACTATTCACGGAGGTATTTATTAAATGTAATTCTTTGTATCGTCTCGTATACTTGACTACTGTATAAATTTTAACGAGATTTAACACGATGTACCGTATAAAAAAAAAGTGCGAAAAAATATTACTATAAGTTAATGAACGATGAATTTCCCGTAACTTCTTTCTGTTTATTTTTTTTTTTTTTTAAGTTGTCAACATTAAGCATATATAGTACTATCACGTCTCGCTTAATTGTATTATTATTCTTACTGTGAACAAAATTGACAGATAAACAAAAACTTTTTATTTAATTCCTAAATTTTAGTTTTAAGGTTTGGTAATGTTACGTATCTTGAAACGTATCGTAGTTTTATCACTACTATGTGCTACTAATTAAATATTCATTAACGTATTCTAGTTAAACTGCGTTGAAATTAAAGAAAAAAGAAAAAAAATGTAATTTACTAAAACATTACATTTTTTCCTTGTTCGCTATGAAACGTTTATGTCCACATAATTTTTTATCAGATGAATTATACCTTAAACGCTACCTGGGTGTACGAATTAGTAACTCGATACGTCATATTTTACATAAAGTCACGTTTATTAACTGTCAAACTCTGCTTTGTTTTGTCGCCTTATCTCCACCACATAAAAATTTTTTTTACATTCATCGACTTTTATTATTTTTATTGTAATTGCAACTGAATAATTATTGTAGTTGAATTCTTAATAAAAAACATCGCTCTTTTTAAAATTAACACGCCTGTCATGTTCGACTGATAAATCAAACACGTAGAAAATGAATTCTCAATCAGTGTCAGCCAAACAAAAATATATGAATTATAAAAGTATTCTAAAAATGTAAAATAAATTCAAGACTTTACGTTTTTGAGAATATTTTTACACTCTTGTCTACCTTTTGTTTTTTTTTTTTTTTTTAAATTTNGAAAAATTAGTAATTGGCACACCTAAATTAATGTAACACATCACCAATTTTTAAATAGTCTCACTTATAACAGGTCATGGCAGAGAAAACATAAAAAACATAACAACAGCACGAAATAAGTCACTTATTACCTTCAATAAAATATAAATAGAAAATAATACATCAACAGTTAGCATGTACAGAACCACAAAACTAGGAAATATCGTGTTTAAATACATGAAACAGATGTTGCCAAAGCATATTCCACAAACAAAAATGATAATTTGTCCGTAAATAAAACTATATGCACCCTTACAGAAAATATATAACATTATTAAAGAAATGCGTAACTTCAGTATACCAGGACATGAAGAAGTAAATAAGACTTACAACAAACTAAAGCAAAAATATTTTTTAAGAAACTAAAAAAAAGATATCTAATTATACATACCAAAATGCCTGTAATGCCAACTAAAAAATTAAGTACTTGTTCAAACAAAACAAAAATTAATTATCTCCAACACACCTACCAAACCTTTGTTAAATTTGTTAACCCAACAATCACACAATTAGACACAGTGCACTATAAAAAAAATATAATAAATTGCGAAGCACTTGTTTAGCCGCGTGCATCGTCTGGCGCTCCGATAGCTATTATGTACAAAATAATATCCAATATTGATAGTTACAATTAAAATACAGATAAAATAACAATTCATAGAATAAAGGAGTATCTCGAAGTAAACTCTTCTAAGGGGATCAGAAATCGGCCTCAGTAACGGCGGGTGGAGAGGATGCACTGCTGTTTCAGGATTTTTTTTTTTTTCCTGTAAGGAAATGGATGTTTCCCTGTTAACGTTTGAATGGATGTTCATTGTGATGTTATTAAAAAAAAAAAATTACGAATATAGGTACGCACTCCTCGCGTGCAACAATACATCGTTCAGGCATGTAACGACGCGCGTGTCGTCGTCGAGCGATGTATAAATGAAATGAAAACACACATGCAAGCAAATGTGCTCGTACGAGTGTTTCTATTTTTTTGTTCAAAGCCAAATTCTTAAAATAAATCGATGATCGTGTGAACCCAGAGTGGGTATGTACAAAGATTACACGACTCCGAATCAAATGACTGCTCTCGCGACGATTAATTGAACAGAAAAAAAAAAAAGTGAACATATTATCCCAAGTTTTTTCTACGTATGTATTTTTTTGATGGTAAACGTTGATAAGAAGCGTAAATCCGCGTCAAGGATGTATACAATGATTTATTCAAGGGTGTGCGCGTGTAACAATTGTCATTTGGAATATCACAAAATCCTGACCGCATTTAGTAATCTGTCTTGAATTTCGCTCTCTCTCTCTCTCTCTCTCTCTCTCTCTCTCTCTCTTTTTTTCTGGCGCCTCGGTCTAACTGCAATGTTTTCTCTTCTCTTTGTTTTTTACTTTACGATTTTTTATAGGTGGTTTATCCTACAAGTGCCTTTGTACAAATTTAATGTGACTAAAATTTAATCGAGTAAGAACTGACTATTGATTCAAAATTTTGATTAACTTCGTATTATGTACCGATTAGGTCAATTTCTTAGAACCACTTAAGTTGTCATTGTTACAATCAACAGAATCATAGGTCTGTTGGTTCTTAGAATTTCCAGGGGTTTTGGGTTTTGTTTACTGAAGTTGAAAATAAACAAACAAACCCTTAGTATTTTTTACCTATACCTATATGCATCTCTGTACCTTAATAGGTTTTTTTTTTTTTTTTTTTTTTTTTAATATTGTTCAAGTGACCCTCCAATATTGCTAAAGATTTTCACTCAGCCTTGGCTTTCAACATCTCTGCCTCTAACCGAATACTTTTGCCTTTTTTTTTGTGTCTTCATGCATTCACGTCTTTTTATACGACTTTCCAGTTTCTGCTTACGTCCTCGCAACTGTAAAATAATGCCTGTATATTTCTTTGTTAAATGTCTTTGGCTTTGTATCGATGCCATTAAAATAGTATCCTTATCTTAATTACCAGTTTCATATTTTTGTTACTTTGCCAAAGTCTTTGTTCATATAAATGCAATTGAACGAGTATTCTTTCCTTTTATTAGTCAAAAAGAAATAACCATAAAGTAACATGAAAATTTCGTAACTTAAAAAAAGTTAGTGAACCTAGTGGTAAACCATCGGTGTGTACACTCGCGTACAAAGCAACGGTACAAATCCATCGTCGCTTTCTACCGCATAGATTTCTACTATCACAAATGATAATGTACATTCCACTTTATATACCCCGATAAATGCTACCGTGAAAAAGATATATTTCTAGATACGCCAGAACACTTATTGTAAAATAAAGTCTCCATTACACGACGCTTTTCTTGGTAAACATTTTTTTTTTTTTTTTCCGTAAATTTGTTATTACATTAGACGGTTCACATCAAACTGATGACATAATAAAAATTTGTTAATCACCTTGAGTACAGTTTAATGTATCTTCAAACATTGAAAAAGATAAAAAAAAACAACGGTATACCAACAATAAAGTGAACAATAAAGGGCGTGAGCCGATTTTAAATACTCTTGAATAAAAGAGCTTTAAATAGCGAGAGGGAAATAGAGTACTCAAATTTGAGTCTTTTAAATGATGAAGATGTGTGTATATAGGAAATGTATACCATTTCCACACACGCATAAGTATACCTGTATTGTACGCGCATTTTTTGACAGCTAAAAATATACAAGCTCTTCCTTCCCGCCGCGCCACTCTTAGGTATATAATACGTCCGTTCTGCAATTTCTTTTAGGCGCAAGATATTATACGCGTGAATCACTACTAACTTTTATAGATTTTGTCCTTCGTATTACTTTTCGGTAAACAGATAAAACTAAGAACTCAGGCATGTAATATGTACTTTCCAAAGGATCTGTTGTTTGCAAATCCGTAAGGCATCTCCCTACCACTATATATAGTACGTTTTATATATATACAACGTGTCGTTAAAGTTACTTAACAGTCGGCATCGGCGGCGGTCGGCGCCCGGCTACCAATTGCCCAGTGATAGTATACTTTCAACAGAATTCTACTACCACCGACTATATATTTATAGTTGTGTATTAAATTATGTATTATATAAATATGCTGATCTCAGTACTCTATCTCATGATCACTGAATTGCGCCAATCTATGTATTGTTTATGTACAATATATCTATATGTGTGTATGTACATGTATACATACAAGCAACACACGCGTTGGCTGGCGCTGGCGCGCGCGTAAAATCGGAGTCATCGGAGTCGCAAATTTTAGTAGGTATACCCTATCCTCTTCATCTGTGCGCAGTTCTCCGCGTGTCCTCCTTGTCAAAGGAGAGAATCCGCATGACACCAAAGTGCGATTCTTCATTTCTTTCTCCTATACCTATCATTATAGGTGTTAAATAAGTGAAAGTGTAGGTGCTTGATACTTATGCGAAAAATTGAAAAATATATATATATATATATAACTACACGCAGTAAAAGGAGGTGGGCTCCATTCCAAGTCCAAGCTGTCCAAGTGCCGATCAAAATATATATAGGATAAAAGAAGAGTGAGAGTGAGAGACTCGGTGGTAAAGAGAGGGAGAGAGGTTATGGCGGAGTGCTGGAGAGCAGCAGCTCGTGCACGCTGCAGCCACAACATCCAGTTGCCGAAATCTCACCGCCATCGATGCTCTCGGCATTAACGTCCTGGTTCGAGGGGATGAGCTTGGCTGCCAGTGTGTCGTTAAAGTAGCTGAAGTTGCCGCAGTATCAAAAGGACCGAGCTCAACTCTTGGTGGTGTGTTGTTACTGTGTTGTGTTGTGTATATTCTCTCACTCACGCCGCACGCGGGTATATATATACACACATCTCCATGTATATGCCTTTATAAGGATAGAGGGAGAGAGAGTGCGGAAGGGAAAAAGAAAAGAAGTTACGTCGAAGTGTACGTAATACTTGTAGCTTTGTTTTATAATATGCGGATGCTGTGTGTAGCCGTTAATTTTCGGACGATATCCAGTCAACGGAGGCACTTTTGGTCCCGAATGTTGGAACATTTTTGGTGATGAAGGTGGCCCAGTTGCGTGTTTTTTTTTCGTCTCTCTCTCTCTCGAGAGAGAGAGATTTTTCGGCCTTTGGAGAGGAAATTTGCATTCCCCGAAACACGCGTGTATTTATAGTACCTACATATATATATACATATATATATATATATGTTTTCTTGCCAATAACCTGCAGTTTTTATGATTTCTTTTCTTCTTTTAATTGCTACTTCCTTATACTTTTTTTTCTAATTCGCTGTTTAAAACATCTAAGCTATTGTATAAATGGCTGTCTGTCGCTCTTCACTTCACCAGTGATCCTCTAGTACACAAAGTAAATACGTTACGTACCTACTTATCTATGTAGCAACGCTTGTTGCTTCAATGGCTGGTCATCAATGAAATAGGTATCTGTAGAGTACTTGGATTTATTGTGAAAACAGCGGGGTTTAGGAAAAGTTATTATGAATTTTTCACTCAAGTATTAGCGTCTCCAAAGACTTCTTTTTTGTTAAAACTTTTTTCTCAAAGTCAAAGAATATCTCTCAAAACGTTATTTTTATTTGAACAATTTTTGCTTCGTACACATATTGTGGAGAGTTAGTAGCGCTGTCTTTGATCTAGTGAATATTTGCTCGTTTTCTCAAGTTGCAATAATATGATTGAAATAACGAATTGTTTAATTTTAATTTAATTTTTAGTATATTAAATTCTGTGATACTTGTATTATTTTGGTAAAAAATAAGTTCTTTTATTATGCAGTTAAAAAGTAAATAATTTTATTCTAAAGATCATTCAGAATATTTATTATATTTTTATACTGCTTCTAAAATTAATTTTTTTATGCTTGTCAATGTTTTTCGTATCATAGTGTAACTCTCAATAGTAATTTTGGAAAAAAACTTACCTTTGATATTTTAAATTTAACAAGTTGTTGTTTTTTCTTCTTGCAGGTGGATAACAATGGCACAACATTTCGTGACAGTTTGTGTTGTGTGTGTATTATGCGCAGCTCACACGCCATGTTACGCTCATATGAACTTGTCATCACAAATCGCAAAACAAATACCTGGTGAGAAATATCCAACAGAATCCCTAGGTCGCAGTGAACCTTTGTTACCACTTAAGACAGAAACAACTGTATTACCACAGTTGAAAGATTTTCATACCAAATATCCCAAAGAAACTAAAAGTCTAGAACATTTGTTTAGCAAAATGCCTGATGACAAGATTGTGAAATCTAGTGTTGACTTGATACAAAGTTACGAACACATTAGTGCTCACAAACAGTTGAGCGAACAAGAACTTATAGACAAGCAACAAGAGTTGCTTGATAGCCAAAAGGAGCTCCTAGAAAAACAGGAGGAACTAATCGAAAAACAAAAATACCTGCTAGAACATGGCACTACGCAACAAATGCTGGAAGGACAAAAAGAACTTATCGACAACCAAATGAAGCTAATAAAAAGTCGGGGAGAATCAATTGAAAAGTATCTATTGTTACAGCACTTGCTGTTCAAAGATTTTACAAAACATCATCTTAGTCCAGAAGCTTTAAGATTAAAAAGGGGCTCAAAACTTGATGATCAGTACTTTGTCAAAAAAATATCTGATCATTATGGAAATAATGGAAAAATGACAATTGAAGGTTTTGACAAGCTTGTGGCAACTATGAGTCTGTTTCAGTCTGAAGTCAACATTAGTGAACAAGAAATTCATAGTATCGACAGCAATCGATCAGGAAGTCCTTTAGGTGAATATAAATAATTTTTTATCTTACAAACAATTTTTCTTCTTTTCAATTGTATACCTACATCTTACCATACATTTACCTATCTTTTTTCTACTTTATTTCTTTATATTCAACAATTAAATTTTAAAATCCTTGGCATTGAAATACCTTTAATTTGTATTTATCATCTTCAACAGATTTATTTTAATTTTCACTTGTCACTCTCGATCAATGATTTTGCTCCCACGTTTTTTAACGTCTCTCTTTATTCCATCACCTCTATTGCAACCAAGGAGATGCTCAAAATTAATTTTTTTTTTCTTTTTATTAATCTAAACGATGAACTTGCGAAGTAGCAGCTAATTTTAATACGGAATGCGAGCTGTAAGTTGATCGTTGTATATCAGCATGGGTAGTGACTAATCAAGTTGATTTAATGATAGCAATGTGTATACGCGAGCGATTAATATCGAGACGATGATCGGGCTTCTCTCTTTCTTCGTCGCTCAGACGATCAATTACCGTGTCACATCACTAATCAATTTTCAAGCTGTCCGTGCGGTGTCCATGAAATTTTGGAGTGGTTAGTGAAATTTACTTGAATATGAATTTCGAAGTGTGCAACAATGAAGTAGAAAATAAGAAAGTTTAATAAATATTGATTTTGTCGCGATTGTTTATCGAATATATATTTATTGTGTTTTTCATACGAGCACCTGATCTGATAGATCAATAACAAAATTTTTTACTATGATATTCTCATAAACTTCATCAAGTAATACAAATTATTCTCGATCAAAGTACTTTGGGTGTTTATTACATGCATCTTGTTTATAATGCATAGTAGAAATGATTTTCCAATGAAAATTAAAGTTGCGTAAAATACTGTTTGTAAACTTGAGTAAATATGAATCGAAACGAGTGCAAAGTCTGTAGCTCAAATGACAAGTTGATAAACAAATTTTAGTTCTTTTTTTTGCTTCGCGTAATAATGCTTATCTGAAGGTTAAAAATATTTTATAAGTCTTGATGAACTTTTCTTTTTTTTTTTTTTTTTAATTCCAGCTGGTGTAAAAGATCCACAGAGCAAGAAGGAATCGCAGGATGGCAGTAAAAATGTAGATAAAAAAGAAAGGGTAAGCATCGCCTCGACTTGAAATATCTCAGGTATCTGATAAAACATCGTTAATCTATCTGAATAGTCTCTCGAGTTTGTTAAAGTCACGTAATCAACGGTAAATCAATGTACGAGGGAGCGATTTCCCTTGATAAAGACGTGATCGGTTGAATAACGAAAAATTTGTTTGCAGTGTTTAGGCAGCAGGGAACTGTTGAGCGCGTTATCGGGCGACGAGGCATACGAGAGCGCTAATAAAAACGCGACCCTACCTGGCTGGCTGCTCGAGAGTGTATGTCCAGCGCTTGTTTATCAACTCGCGGTTGTATCAGACCTGCAGAGAAGTGGTTGCGTCCAAGTGTCGCTCGAGGACTTGGCGCCACTACCCGTACCCGATCATCACCACTACGAGAAGCCGATCACTTCCAACGACATGTTTCTCGGTAAGCTTGCAGTTGATCTTTATTTTGTCGTGCAAAATCATTTTTTTACAGATGGCTTATTATTTTTTTTGTTTTTCGTAGTATGGGGATGCGCTTCCGTCAGCGTCGTAGCAATCAGTTTGGTTGGTCTAGTTGGCATTGCTGTAATACCGCTCACGAGCAAAAGTTACTATTCTCACGTGCTTCAGTTTTTGGTCGCTCTTGCCGTTGGCACTTTGTGCGGCGATGCCCTTATTCACCTTATACCTCATGTACGTAGCTGAAAACAAAGTTAAAATCACGAACAAAGAAAATTGTATGAATTTTATGATTGACGAAAATATATTATTGCAGGCCATGATGTTGGGACCAGAACTTAATAGTCATTCTCACGAAAATCATCAACTGCATTTAAGTTTGGAATATTTAGAAAAACAACACACTTTAAATATGTGGAAAGGTCTGACGATAGTTTTGGGCGTGATAACCTTTTTTGCAACTGAAAAGGCACTGAACATTATGTCTGAGTGGCTCAAGTATAGAAAAAATCGCAGAAAAGTTAGAAGTTTAAATTGTATTGATTATCAATTGTTTTTTATTTGGTTAGCTTAATATTAATAGGCTAAAATAAATTTGCTACAGATGCCGGTAAGAGTGAGAGTTATGAGGGAGTCGGACCCAGAAAACAGCAACAATGTAGGTGAAAAACTGTGCAAACACAAGTACTCGACGTATCCTTACTGTTACGGAGAAATCGTGCCAGAAACTCAAGGTATTTTTTGTACGGCTCTACGTTTTAATGTGTAGCATCCGATTCTAATCATTGTTATACCTAATCCGTTAGATGATCGCCATATTTTCAAACACAATCACTGCGAGAAGCCACAAACTATTGAAGAGGAAAAACCTTTGACTTGCAATTCCACAAATTGTAACTCTGTTTCTAGTAAAATTATGCAAAATGATTTAGACAAAAAAAACAGCGGAGAATGGAAACTCGACGATTCTGTGATTAACGATACGAAAAAAGCAATGGACGCTTCAGATATTCCGCTGAACGATGCCGAAGGTTATACTGTGATCATTAGGGATCATGATGCCAAACATCATGGCCATGGGCACACGCACAGTAAGCTTCATTTAGATTACGTTACTTTGAGAAAATTTTTTTTTTATTAACATAACAATATATTTAGATCATGTGCATTCTGCGCCAAGTTCAATGTCTAGTGTTGCCATGATGGTTATTATGGGAGATGGCCTGCACAATTTTACTGATGGCATGGCAATAGGTGCTGCTTTCTATGGAAGTCTTGGTGGAGGATTTTCCACAGCTCTTGCTGTTTTATGCCATGAACTGCCTCACGAATTGGGTAAAATTTTTTGAAAATATCATTAACTAAAATCAATATGTTTACCTGCACCGTTGTAATTTTTTGTGGATTTCAGGTGATTTTGCCGTTTTGTTAAAAACAGGCATGAGCGTTAGACAAGCTGTTTTATATAATTTACTATCGTCGATACTTTGTTTTATGGGCATGATACTCGGAATAGTATTTGGTGCTGTATTTGATAGTATCAGTTGGGTATTTTCTCTAACTGCTGGGATTTTTCTCTACATAGCTCTTGTCGACTTGGTGTGTAATGTATACGCTTACATTAAAGTATACATCAAAATTATATTGACGTTTACTAGACATCAACATTTATTGATTCCAGATGCCGGAATTGTCTTCAAATCATTCAATAAAACAAGGTGCTCACTGGCAATTCCTTATACAAACAGCCGGTATGATAACTGGCTTTGCACTGATGTTAATTATCGCACTTTATGAACATGATCTCCAACATATATTTAACAGCTAAGCGCAAGTATGACTTGTTTACAAGAAAAATAGTACATAAATCGATGCGCGTCGATATCATTACGTGGTCAATTTGAAACCTAAGAGTTGAATTACAGCAGACTTTTGAATGCTCGAATTCTCGTATCAAGTAATATGAACTCATGGTGCGTTTTCGGATAAGTTCCATTACTTGCGTAATATCGTGAGCTATTAAGTTCAACGTAATTACGTGGAATGCATGTAAATTAAAATAAAAATAAAAAATTATAAAAAAGTGTAAAAAGTATACAGTTCGCATTTTCGACATGTCTAAAATTTAGATTTTTGTGAGCATTAAATATCAACAATGTGTAAAAATTACAATCACTAGTATATACAGATAATCTTTGCATATTATATTTTGAAAAACAACCTTTAAACAATAAAAAAAAATTTCAGCTAAAATTTTGTCAGTTTACCTGTAGCAATTGAAAAATAATTTTATTATCTTTCTAATTCGATTTAGTTACTAAATATTATGTTTTGTTGTATGAGTAATCAACAGTGTAGTTATTTTTCTTTTTTAAATGTTTCTGTAGTGTTTAATTTTTTGGTGAAGAAAAAAATTGAAAATACTTAAAAACTATATTTTTTGAAAGATTTGGATTTTAGATTTATTTCTGAAAAATACCATTTTTATCAAAATAAGGGAACAATAACAAAAGGTGCGCATGATTCATGCTACGTCTAGTGAGACGAATTTATTTGCAGTATTGTTTTTTCAGTAATAAGATACAGATAATTTATGCTCTGTCGAAATGAGTTTGCATATTGTTCCTTTAAGTAAAAATCGAAAATAGCTCTCTAAATAGAAATATTTCAAATCCAAACAAAATACTACTGAAGCAATGGCACACGTAGTGTGAAAGACACACTTAATAAAAATAACGTATCTTAAATAAAAGTATGCATTTAGTTATTAATAATAAAAGCTCGAGAATTTCGAGAATGATGTACTTTAAACATTAAATTTCGTTTTTTACATTGTGATGAAAGATACTTTTTTTACTAATATTGCGCTGAACACTAGAACTATCATAAAATTGTGAATTTACCATGAGTCAAACTGATAAGAAGGAACGATGAGCATACTTATTAAGAAAATAGATGTAGTCTATATTTTAATACATTTTTTATGTTATTAATGCTACCAATTATTTGATCTAAAAAAAATTTTTTTTGAAGTCCGCTTCTTCGATACTTTAAAGTGATTTTACGTAACGTTCCTGTCGATCGTAATTTCTTACGTAGTTACATAGTACTAGTTTTTAATATTATATGAAAAAAATTGCTTTCGATCACCTTATAATTGATTTGTTCATCATTTAAATTGTGTTTTGAAATAGCGCTGTATGAGTGATTTTTGTAATATGGCGAACTACGAGTACGTTCGTAAGAAAACAGAAGTGATTGTACAAACGTTTATACATATTTTCTTTATACTTGTAAAATAATCGATCACAACTATTTTTCAATCGAACATATAATACAAACATCGTGTATTGTGTAAGGAAGTTTTGGAAGTAAAGCAATTATGAAGCGTCCTAACTGTTTACACAAATTGATTTCAATGATTTACAACCTAGGCTCCAAATTAAAACATGTGTTAATACGAATGATTACTTCTATACGGAAAAATAAAAAATCAATGCGTACATTTTTTAAAAGAAAGTAACAAACATTCTTTTGTTTTTTTTTCTTTCTCGAAGTATGTAATTTAAGAACGTGAATACATGTTTCAGAAGATAATTTGTATTCTACAGAGTGCCAATAAATGTATTATGTACTCTAAATTAAGCAAAGGAGGTAGATGAATCATGAAACGATCAATTTGGTTGAAATGTTTTTTTATAAAATTACGTAACAGTATATTTACACTTATGATAAAATATACAAACCGACGTTTAATTCGATAAAATTATTAAAACTTTACAATGTTATATAAACAATATATTTTTTAATTTAAAGTAAGTCGAAATATTTACATTTAAGTAATCAGCAGATTATTTTTTACATTGATGAAAAATCATCTCTATCACTCATTTGAGCAGTTATGCTAAAAGCTGTGTCAGTACTGGCTTCACTATTTGCACTTTCATTGAAGTTTGATTTTTTGTGGACATCGTTCATTTCACGCATGATACCAGCCATATCATCATCAGGATCAATTTCTTGAGAATCTCCCATTGCATCAATATCCATATCTAGATTGCTTTTAGCTTGTTCTTTTGGCTCTTCTTTAAACTAATGAAAATAAATTATAGTTTGTTGATTATGATTAACAAATTATATTAAATGAGGCATTATTTCTTCCTAGATCTTTGTTTTACCTGTAGAGGTTCTAATTTGAATTCCGTAGGTAACCGAGAATGGAATACACAATTTGTATCAAAAATTACAGGCACAGGTTCATGGCATTCCATGTCAGCTTCCTTAGCTCCGCAGGCTTTAAATAGTACTTGATTTTGATCCTAAGATTAATCAAGATTAGTTGATGCATGAGCAAAACTCGTTAAAACTTTCTGAAACTTTTAGTAATATTTTAAACAATAAATTACCTTGAGAATGTGTTTTCGGCAATACTTTGAGGAAGGTAACGTTCTTTCTCCACATTTTACACCACCTTCTGTAAACACACATTTTTGTGCACTGGGTGGTTTTTGTGCAGGACCTTCTGCAGATTGCGCCCGTCGTTCCAACGATTTTTTGTATAAAATAGCTTCAACACCACTACGCCTGTGGTAACTATTCAAAGCTTTTAATTTTTCGTAAATTTTCTTTTCTTTGGCTGTAGTCTTGGGCTGATCGTGAATACTACCTGCGCAGAATAGTTAACGAGTTGTTATAAATATAATGAATCAAGTAAATACTGTTTGGACTATTGCAATGGATACTCACACAAAGTTTCTTTTTCTTTCTTCAAATTGTGCAAATATTTTCTTCTTTTTTCTCTCAAAGTATATTGTAACCTTTTAAACTGATCTATATACAGAGTCTGGAGCCTCATTAATTTTTCTCTAGCAATACAAACAACTTCTTCAGCTGTATACAATCCAGCATGCCTAATAAAAACACAACAATTTATTATTTAATACTTGAAATTATTATTTTCACCAAACAATGACTAAGCATACTTTAAAGGATCTTCTTCAGGTGAATTTAAGCTTTCCTTGTCACTGTCATCATCAAAGTAAGTTCCTTTCACAGTGTCGTTGACTAATGTGGGTTCAGTATCACTGTCAGATGAGCTGGCATAATCCAATATTTCGGATCCCTTTGCATTAACTCTATATGCATCGATTTCAGCTATAAATAAAAAGTTAGGGGATACATTTTTTTTTTAAATAACAATAGATTGTTGAGAATAAAATATTACTTACTAAAGGGATTCAACACTTTGACTTTTTCTTCTTCTGATTCATCTTTTTTACTGTGAGCATCAACAGGTTTTACATAATGACTAAGGTTTAGCAAGAGAGTTTCTGGAGTCTCTGGTAACGAGTGCTTTGATATGGACTTTGCTCTAGCAATTTGAGCTTTTCTTGTATGCTCCAAACAGTACCAATATTTCAAATCCAAACAAAATACTACTGAAGCAATGGCACACGTAGTGTGAAAGACACACTTAATAAAAATAACGTATCTTAAATAAAAGTATGCATTTAGTTATTAATAATAAAAGCTCGAGAATTTCGAGAATGATGTACTTTAAACATTAAATTTNAAAAAATGAAAAAATTAGCATTATAATGGTCAGGTCTGACCATGTTGGACAATTCGATACTTACGAGATATCTCTGTTATCCAATTTTGCAGCCGCATTGTTACAAGGCCTCGTGTTGTTAGGTCCTATGGTGTATATATAGGAACATTGTTGAAACGGGGCCTTTTGGTCTTCTAAAATGTGTCTGGCACAGTAAGCGTAACCCTCCAAACATGGTTGGTAACACTCAAAAGACGTGTAAGAACAGTACTGATCCTTAGTTTGCTTAGGAAGAGTGTTCACGGCTGACGTGACAGTTGGGGCTGGCATGGTCGACTTGGGCACTCGAAACATATCCTATCTGAAAATAAATTCAATTTTTAAAGAATCACGCGCAAAAAAACAGTCAAATTTTGTTCCGATGCAGCGAAAATGAATTTGAAAATTGCCGCGCAAAAATATTACGCAAGCTTCCTGTCAAAACAGCTGCTTCGACAGCTTAAAACACAACGAATGTGCTTCTAAACATTTGGATATTCCCTTAAAAAATCGTAATTTCAATTGTCACCGACGAAACAGGAGATCAGACAGACTTTGTGAATAACAAAACAGTCGCTAATCTGACGAGCAAAGTCCACGAAGTAGTCAACAACAGGAAACACACGACGGTGGCCATTTTGCGCACGGCGCGTCGTTGTGTGGTTGTGCGTCGCGGAATTAGAGAAAAATCAACACCCAAGAAAGAAAAAATCAGAGCTCGCGCGCGTACGTATAATTAAAAAGCCAAAATTTACCCACAAAAAAAAAAAAAAAAAAAAAAAAAAAAAAGAAACCAAAAAAATACAAGCAGCAAATTCGAGTCAATATTCTCCCTCTGGGGTGTGCATATGCACGCGTGTGACTTGATAAAACGTATAAGAGCATTATATCACGCACAGCAGCAGCAGGGCATCAGAGCAAGGGAGTCGAGTAAGTCTGAGACAGGACAGAGTATTCTCGAGAGAGCTCTCGACGACGTCCGTCATCTCTGCGTAGCACACACACCTACCACCGTACCACCACCACCATACTTTCCCCGTGCCGTTGCTGCTGCTGCTTCTGCAACGACTGCAACAACTGCTGCTGCACGTAAGCGATGAGCAGTACAAAACCAAAACCCTAAAGATTTTACTAAAAAAAAAAAAAAAAAAAAAAAGAGCCAAGTAAATCTCCTTATGACGCAGTTTTTGTCACCTGGTGCACGCGCGCACTCACTTAACGCAGATGTGTGGCTCTTAGGGAAGAAAGGTTGCCCCCCCCCGCCGTTTCCCTCTTGCACTGGTTATTAGTATCAGTTCCTTGTTTTTTTTAATTCTCCACTTTGCCCTGATACTTATTAACCATCACGTAAAGGGCCGATAAAAAAATAAAAGGCACAAAATATACCTATATTTCATTTTTTGCTATCCCGTTGTGACGTGTTGTCTCGTCGGTTCTGATGTTCGCATTGGAGATTGGAGTATTTGGAGCGTGTGATGTCAGTTGCCATACACATAGACACGACACTCTATAGAGATATGATATATTAGTTTCGCTTTCGCGATGTTATGGGTTATTGGGTTATTGGACGTCTTGATGTGACAAAAAGGATAAAAGGTGACGACAGCACGACGAATTGTACGATGCAAACGACGTACGCTTTTTTTTTTTTTTTTTTTTTTATAAAATTGAAATGTTTATGACTTGATTCGAACAATCAACTTAAGTTATTATATAAGCAGACCACACAAATGATCGCAAATGCAATTAAAGTGAAAGTTGATTTCAAAGGAAGTTCGTATGAAAATTTACGTGTAAAATTACTAAGCATTTAAGAGAAAAAGGCAAGGTCGGGATATTGACCTTATCACCTTTTGAAAACCTTTTGAAAAAGAAGTTTTTGGGAGAAATCTAAAGAGAAAAGTTTTATTGTCGAGTGACTGGTAGAAAATAATTTAATATGAAGGATTGAACAAAGATTGAAACTATAAAAAGAAAGGTAATCTTAAAATATTTCTTTGAAATTAAAAATAAACGTTAGTTTAAAATTTGAAGGTTGGCGCGCAAAGTACGCAGGTGGCAGAGCCCCCTACCTCAGGAAAATAAAGAGAGAAGCTGAACTATACCTAATTACCTATGTACCTATCAACATTCGACAACCGAACGTGCCTAATTGCATTTTAAAGATCCCCTGGCCAATAATGTAGGGCCCAGTGTTCTAATTGACTTTCTTTGTATCTTTTTTTCACGTCATCATATTGCACACTGGAAAAACTGAGGGACAAAGAATCGATGCATAGACGTGGCCAGTGCCTACGAGTAATTCGCATGCGACAGTAGTCTCCTTTTTAACATCAAGTGTAAGCGTGTTGTTTAAAGTACCGTTGTGCAGCTATTTCGTTTGAAGTTATCTTTCAAGAGTAAAACTTCGTAGACTTTCATACCTATAGGTATATTTTTACAAGTATCGGATATAGGTATAGTTGAGAAGTTAGAAAGGGTCTACCTATATAGGTACCGGAATACACAAGCGCCGCGGCCATTTGCAGGATCAGCCTTCGTGGTGCGCTTGCGTATACGTAACGCACTACAGAGAGCACGGGAACTGGTGAGAAAGTGCAAGGCATTTTTCAAAAGAAAATTTTACATTAATTTTAAACAATATATACTGTAATCGGAGAGACTAATATTATAACAAATTAAGGAGAGTTCGATCGGCAGGTCCGTGCTGCTGCAACGAAAAAAGAAAACAGCACGGAAGACGTTTCCGTGTCCTAAATATATTGTGTGTGCTGAGGGAGAAAAATCACTCGAGGACGAGCCACGAAATCACTCTCTCGCGCACAAGGTTTTTGCCTTTCCCAAATGTCTATTTATTTACATCATTACTTTGTTGTTTTGTTTAGTTACTACATGAGTTTTTAAGATTTTTGACCTACAAGTACATTATTCATATTCGCGTGGGTGAGTCTGTCTCTGGCCCCAACTTCATATTGTTGGTTAGGTCGACATGTTGACGTGTTTGGAATATAATGACGCAACGTTTTGCAAGGTCACGAAATTGTTGGGCACTTATTTATTTTCGCATGTCAGTGATCGATCGAATTAGAGTACGTACGGATTAATTATCGTGCTTAAGGAGCATTTAGAACCCAAAAGGAAAGACAGTTGCATTGAGTTTCCTGCAAACCCTACTTGCTCTGTCTCTCTCTCTCTCGCAACAACGAAGCAAGATTCTTCTTTCTCGTATGAGACACTTCGGTGAAAATTTTCCATTCTTTTTTCCTTCAGCATTCCCCATATTTTCTTTTTACATAGAAGAGGTGTACCTTTTTATAAAATTCTGATTGAAATTGATCTGTCCCAGCCTTGGGAGTATGACAAAGAACGAAGTTAACCTATATTTAGTAATGACTCAGCATAGTACGTCTGATGATATTCAATGCAGCCATTTTGAACATCGTGAAAATTCACGTTGCCTCCAATTGTTATATTTTTTATTTAATAGAATTCATTGGATATCATTATATTAAAAGTACTCGTGTTAACGAATGTTACATGTGACAAACCAATGCTCGGTCAAAGTAAAATTTTATCCCACAACATTAGACAAATCGATTTCAGTTTTTTATTTCTAACAATGGCATTCTCGATTGAAAAATCAATTTACATTTATCATTTCATTTTTAATAGTGATTAGAGATAATTAAATTGTGAACAAACTATATATTGTGCACGATAACAGCTGATTGTAACATGTATGTGGAATTTATGCACCAGTACATGAGGCTTGATCACTTGTGTGTACTATGCATAGTTTAAAGATCATGGTTTGATGTTCCTAGTCACTTATATTAATGATTTTTAGCTTTGCATAAAAAATTACATGAAGTTTTGTGTTCAATCGTTTTAATATCTTATACCATCTGCTGCATTTATAATAAATTAACTTAATTAAGGATTTATATTCTTTCTTGTGTTTTATAGCAAAATTTTCATAGTAACTTGTTTAGTAACTTTTCTTAAAATGTATAACATGCATAAACAGTCAGTGTATATGAAAAAATGATACTAAGTCATAGGATTATTGTATTTGATTGTTTCCTGCTGTCTTGAATGATATTAAACATACTTTTTCATTATTCGGTTGGTTCGTTACAAAATTTGTTAATGAAATATAAATAAAAATTACTTTGTGAATAAAGCAGTCTTTCTTCTGTATATTTTATCATTAAATGTTTCATATAACTTATGCACAAAAAAAGCCTTATGCAACTTAGAAAATCCAAAAATTAGAAGTGTAGAAATTAATAACTGTATTTTACTATATTTAAACATTAAACTATAAAACGTTGTTTGTTACTGATTGCTCAAACTTTCTACGAATTTTTTTTTTTTTTAACTCAAATAATTCAAATTAGAAACTAAATTACATCCAGCACTTTTAAAGATACATGTAAGAAAATTGTATGAATAGAAATAATAAGTTATCTTTAAATTTTTGAAAAATAAATTGAAAAATCGTCTCTTTCCTTACATATTTCATAAAATTTATGTTTTTCACTACAACAAATTTAAAATTCTTTTTTTGAAAGTTAAAATGTACTTAAATGTATAAGTCAAATGTTGTAAATTTTTTTAGCCTAATAAATGAAAAAGTTTTAATACTTTTTGATGTAGAATTTAATGAAAAAACGTTATGACGGAAAATGAAACTGTAACAAGTTAGAGCATTTCCCACATTTGACTGCTATGATCTTTATCATTCTCCCATACTGAAAATGTGGTATGTTTTTCAAGCAATAAGTAAACTAGTTATTTAAAACAAAGTGAATAATTTCACCAAGTATATCAAATCTACAAAACATAAAGATGCCCACGTAATAATGATAAAAAGTATGTAAAAATATTTTCAACACGGGATTAAGAAAATATTCAAACACATACATATTTTTTTGAAATAACACATGAACTAAAGTTATTAACTAATAGACCCAGCATTTTGACATTTAGTTTTTTAGTATCCAGTTTTCAATCCATTATAATTGTTTTTAATTACGGTCATCAAAAAAATAAAGCGAAACTTTGTACGGCAAATATTTATTAGAGTACATTATTAACGGACGTAGGTACCTTTAATTAATTCGTTTCCACAAACTTGTACCGTTCGATGAATCGATAAATCTCGAAGCTTTCTCTTCAGTATCGAACTTGGATTAGACACAAAAAACTTCGACCCGCCTGGCAGTGAAGTGCCGTCGGAGAAAAAAATTTTTTTTTCAAAACTAAATATTTAATCGTAATTCCATCACTCGATAACTAATTGTTCCATACCGTGGAATATTGTACTCCGACCGACGCGTATTAATTACACCTAACCTTATTTTGCAGGAGGAGCAGAGAAGCACGGAGCTCATTCTGCAGCGACTAACTCGCGAGACTAACTTTCCTCTCCGACATCCAGCGCTAAACTGACGAGCCTCGCGGCGTCCGCCGCACTTGTGTTGTATACACATACACATCCACAAAGTATCATTTGTATGAACGTGTAGTGAATTGAAGTTTACCAAGCGTCGCGGAGCGGATCGACCCTCGCTCGTGAGGGTGAGTGCGTGTGCGTGACGGTGTGACACGTGCTTGCAAGTGCGACGAGGACAGTAACGGTGTATATATATTATATAGGCTAACACCCTGAAGTAGGGTAGACTACGTGTATTTGTCATCTGTGAAAGAGAGAGAAAGAGAAACCGTGCCGAGTGAGAGAAACTATTATACGGGGGAGTGCGGAGAGAGAGCAGCGGTCGAATCGAAAGAGTTTGCGCCACCTCCGCCACTGCCACGGCCCTACCACTACTCGTAGACTTGGCGCCGCTGTCGCCCTCCAGTTAACCGGAGTGTTGGTCGTCCGTGCACTTCAATGGCTCTGGACGAAAAATGGCACTTCACAAAAGAACAATTGGCGAATTCTCCCAGCAGAAAATGCGGCATCGACGCCGATAAGGAGCTGAGTTATCGGCAGCAAGCCGCCAATTTGATACAAGATATGGGCCAGCGTCTCATGGTGTAAGTACACATTATTCACATTATTGTTGTTCTTTATATACAGGCTCATTCCTCGCATTCTCTACCTCCACCTCCCCACCCCCCTCCTCTTTTTATTTTTCTTCCACACTCTATTCTGACGAGCATTTTCCCATCGCGAATCTTGAGCAAATTTTCAATCATGGTCCTTGTGCACGTATTTTCATCTTTGGTTGTAATCGAATATATCAAACTACAATTCCCACGGGCATATTGTGGGCACGTTACACCACCAAATAATTACTTTCTCACGGTTCGCACACACACATACACACGGGCGTGCCAGTTGGTTTGAAAGGCCGAGGTCATGCTTCTTTTTCTCTTTCTTCGAGGAGAAAGTTTTAAGCATGGTTAATCCGATTTTACACCAAGAGAAGGCTTTTTGGAAAAAAGATTTTCGAAAAGCCTAGTTTTCGAGAGCTCCTACGTAACCTAGCTAATCGTGCACACCTGAGTACTCGAGTAATGAAACAGGACGTCTCGAGTCTCAGCGTTCAAAGATTTCTCAATATTTTTGAATCGCGGAAAATCCCAAGAAATTCGTCAGTGCCTCCTCTTGTATGCTCCGAAAATTAACATTTAATATCAATACTCATTTTGATCGTGAATGTGCTAATTGGGATTCTCAGCCTCCAGGATAGACACTTGACTTTTTAAAGATTTACCTTTTTGAACCAAGTTTAGACGATTATATAAAGATTCTAACAGAAAATGTTGATAAATATGTTTGTAGTTCACATTGGCTCAGTTCTATGTTTCAAGCACATGCATTGATATGTTTGTTATAATGGTCTTTGTAAATCCCTAAAATCTCATGACATTTAAAATCGAGCACTCTTATAAACTCTTAATCCTGTGAAAGTTACATTTCTTTTTTTTTTTCAATATAAAAATTATTGATTATAGGTCGCAATTATGCATCAACACAGCAATCGTGTATATGCATCGCTTTTATGTGTTTCACTCGTTGACACACTTCCACAGAAATTCTATGGCATCTGCAGCTCTTTTTCTTGCTGCAAAGGTCGAAGAACAGCCCAGAAAACTGGAGCATGTTATCAAAGTATCATATATGTGCCTTCACAAAGATGCACAACAACCACTCGACATCAAGTCAGAGGTAAGATTTGATTGAAGGGTGTGGCATGAGTGTATATTTCATTACTAAAACATGAAATGGGCATTTTTTGCTTTCAGCAATATCATGATTTAGCTCAAGATTTAGTATTTAACGAAAATGCGTTGTTGCAAACCTTGGGGTTTGATGTGGCTATAGATCATCCCCACACACATGTGGTTAGGTGCTGTCACTTAGTCAAAGGTAACTTAACTTTCCAGGCTTTTTATTGTATCTTACGCAATTAAATCAAGGCGTAAATACATTTTTACAATTGTTTACAGCTAGCAAAGACTTAGCACAAACATCGTATTTCATGGCTTCAAATAGGTTAGTATTTCTTTCAAAACTTTTTTACTAAAATTTAATTTTTCTAAGTATTATTCTTGTAACACATGAAATTCATAAAAAAATATTTCGTTTTCAGTTTGCATTTGACAACTATGTGCCTCCAGTACAAACCTACCATAGTTGCATGCTTTTGTATTCATTTAGCTTGCAAATGGTCCAACTGGGAGGTATGTACCAACATTCAAACATTAAAATGATTTGAAAAAGTGTTATAAGCGTTGTATTACTCATATGGTAATTTTAGATTCCTCAGAGTAATGAAGGGAAAGACTGGTTCTGGTATGTTGACAAGTCTGTCACGTCGGAACTATTAGGTCAACTTACTGGAGAATTTTTACATATCTTCGATAAATGCCCTTCCAGACTTAAGCGAAAAATTCGCAGTATTAACGCTAGCCAAAGTCCCAATCTCATACCATCATCGACGCTAACGAAATCTCCATTTGTATGTACACTTATAACTCATGAATACCGCGATAATATCAGTTGTAATAACTGCATTAAAAATTTTAGGATATTGAGCCACGAAAAGTGCAGTCACCAGCGAACGCTGATGCTAATCTTATCTTTCAATCAAATCGTTCTCATTCAGATCGGTCTGAAATAGATGGCAGCAAAAAGTCTACTACCTCCCATTCCAGTCGCACTGTAGATTACAAAGAATACCGTGAAAAGAAAGAGCGTGAAAGGCTAGAACGAGAAAAAGCGGCAGCCATCACTTTGACAAGCTCACTGAGTGCTGACCCTGGTAAACACCACTCGCACCACCACAAGCAGAACTCTTCTTCCAGCCTAACTGTTCCAGGCAAACATTCAAGCTCTTCATCCTCGAATGCTGTAAAGCAAGTGACTCACCATAATCACCATCATAACTCTCGGCAGGATGTAAAGTCCTCCTCTCAGATGATCCAGAGGCATTCCTCGAACAGTAGTAATAGCAGTAGTGGTGGTAGTGGCACTCGGGATCCAAACCGTGACAGACAAAAAGGGACCAGGGAGCGCGATCATAATTTGTCGAGTAGTGGCTACTATTCATCCACTGTTTCTTTAGAAAATCTAGAATCTGGTATACAAGACACGCAGACCGCCCATCCACCTGAGAAGCTGAATAATTCTTTGCACAAGCAGCATAGTAATGATTCAAGGCATCCCAAACAACATCAAAAAGAAGTAAAGCCACACTCTAAGTTTTCGGACCCATCTGCTTTAAAAACAACAAGAAAAGACCCTAATGAGCAGCGAGCCGAAGAAGTGCGAAAAATGATCGTGCCACCAACAAAACCAAGACCCGAGATCATGAAGGAAGAGTATGCCGCATTGATGCTAAAACAATCTCATCATCCGTCCAAATATCACCAACCGGAAAAGCCGACACCCAGTATCAGTGCTTCACAGGCTTCTTTGCCGTCTCTTGGCTCGGAGTCCAAAATGTTAAATGTTGGTCAGACCGCCTTTACCACGGAGAAGTCTCCCAACGCTCCTGTCTCGGCGGCACAAATTTCACAGAAATCCTTATCTGTTTTCAAAAGTAATCAGGCGAAAAACGGTAACTTGGGCATTTCCGCGACGTCCTCGTTTAGTTTAGTGAATAATTTTGACGAGCCAAAAATAGAGAAAAAGCCACGTGAGGAAAATACAATTCCGTCGAATCTGATTGTTAACAAACATCGTTCCCTATTTAGCCCGGAAAAAACACCAACACCACCATCAATAGCTAAAGAATCTCACTCACAAAGGATAAAGCCAAAATTAAAAACATCACTGGTTGTGCCAAAACAGGAAAACAGTTTATCATTTACGTCTTCGTCGTCTAACGTGGATTCAATAAAACAAAAGTTGTCAAACAATTCAGTTCCTGTATCCTCGCAAAAGCAGCACCGACTTAATTCCGAATTGAATAGTATTCTTGATCACGACTCTAAGCAGCAGCTGCAAGAAAATCACTCGCGAAAACACAACTTTGGTCCGTCGGATAATACAGGATTGAGTAATAACCGCGTACCAGAATTTGCACAACCCATAAAAGATAGTCTGTTGAACAAGAGTTTGGTCGCAACTGCACTTGTAGATGTAAAAACGCCTCTTGAGCTCGTCAAGTCGATTGACAACATGGATCCTACGATAGTTGCCAATCAGCGATTAAAGCCACAACCGCCACAGCCTCAGCAGAATCAGAATCTAACAAACGGGCTACACTCTAGTCTAGAGAATCAATTCTCGCTTATGGATCCGTCAAGCTTCCTCCTAAAACCAGAACCGCCAGAAGAACTACTCAGCAATGAGATGTCAGACTTTATATTTCCTAAGCCAGAACAGAAAGATATCGACTTCTTGTCGTTGGAACCAATAGTATTAACGAAGGAAGAGTCCAATCTAAAGCAGGAACCTATCGTTAAACAGGAACCTAGTGTTAAACAGGAGCCTGCCCTTAAACAGGATAGCTTCTCGCCACTCAAGTCGGCACAGAGTATTAGTGCCCTTTTGCAGGAGCCTATGACGTCAATGCCTTCACTGCTGAAAAATTACGAGCAACAGCAGCCTCAAATCGTCGAGGAGCCTGTTCTGCCTTCCACCGTTGACATGAGCGAACTCGTAGCTCCAATTCAATGTACGGTCGATATTCCCGTGATAACAACATCGGTACCGATGCCAGCTGCAACTGCAACGGTGGTCTCCTCAGTGGCAATTGTCGAGGAAAAGAAACCTGAACACCACAGCAAGAGCGAAAAGAAAAAGAAAGAAAAGAAACACAAGCACAAAGACAAGGACAAGTCAAAGGAGAAGCACAAGCACAAGCATAAAGACAAAGTCAGGGAGAAGCACCGTCGCGAGAGAAGTGATAGAGATAAAGACAGTAAGACTGATGAGGGTAACAGCACTGGCGGTAATAGCACGGCACTCGGTGCTGTGCCCATAAAAATTACTATACCTAAGGATAAGCTAAACCTCAATGCCGACTCTATCGGTACGTCCACTCCAAGCACGCCCAGCACCGGGTTAATAATTAAAATCCCCAAGGAGCGACTTAAAGGCACCGAGGTACCGGTTCAGCAACTGCAGTTGCAGCAGTCTCAGTTACAGCAACAGCAGCATCGTCAGCTACCTCAGCTGAGCACCCCTCAACCGCAGGCGCCGCTTAAAATTAAAATTCGCACCGACACACTGGCCAGGAGCGCGACCGGCGAGCTGCAGGCAGCGGCCGGCCAAGTGCAGCAGACAGAAGGTGTAAGCAGGAAGCGCGAGCGCAGCGACCCGATGGACAACTCGCTAGCCCAGGCCCCGCCAAACAAAAAGTTGTACCAGCAGCAGCAACAGCAGCAACAACAACAACAACAACAACAACAACAACGGCAAAACGGCCGGCACAGCACGTACAACATGCCGGGAACAAACAATAAGGTACGTGGAGCCGGACGAGGGGTGGGTGGACCACCCCGGCCGACCCCCTATCCGTATCCACCGCAGTACGGGGTAGCCCAACACAACATGCTCGGCAAGCTTGGCTACCGTAGCTTCCAGCAGAAACGCCAGTCACCACCGCCAGCCTTCATTCGCCACCCTCGTCCTCTTCTTCCGTCTCATCATCCTTACTTTACCGCCGCCGCCGCTGCTACCGGCAATTACCCACCCGGAATTGTCCAGCAAGGACCTCCAGTTTTTGCTCCAGTTGGGTACTCACCTTACGATAGCACCATATATCATTACCAGTACCAGCAACAGCAGCAGTACGCTATTGCCATGTACCCGACGGCTGGCTTGATAATGACGCCAGACGGGCAGATAGATACAAGCGTACCGCCGCCGTCGTTGGCTGGAAAGCAGCAGCAACAGGGCCAGGCTCCAGGACAAACTATAGACAAGTTTGCCCAGGAGTCCAACCAGCTGCCTCCTCTTCCTGATGGCCCACCTCCTAGATCCTCACCTCCGCCTCCTCCGCCACCCGAGTAAACCTAAGTAAACCAACTGATAATTTTGATATTCATGTCATGCACCTATTTGCTGTTGAACAACTTTTAGAAACATTTATATACGCCTATACCTATGTCTACACTTTTTTTGTATGAAGTTGAAGTCCAACACTTATTCATTCTTATTTTCTTTTGTCCTATATTGAGAAGCTTGGACTTGATAATGTTTTTAATACTTACATGACTAAAATTTGATTTTAGTGAGTATTAGTTGATGTAACAAGTTAATTATATTCAAAATGAAAAGTCATAACACTTATTAAGTTAAAGCTTCTAAATGAAATCTTTCGTTAGTAAGGACCAGCCAATGTAGCCATTTTCTTTTAGACGTAGTTGTAATACTGTGTGAAATTTTTTCTACTTCTTTAGTCGAAACTTTTCTTTTTCCCACAACTTCACGAGCATTTACTCTAAAACGCTGTGGAAAATCCGCGTGTATTCTTTGTTGTTCGCCTTTTTTGTGCCTGCAAATGTCTTGTTTATTATTATTATAAGTAGTGCACGGTAGCTTGAAATCTTGAAAAATTAATTTTTTTTACAAATGTAGATTAATATCTTAACGCACCGTGTATCAAAAGTTTCTATAAAACTTCTCTGATACATTTATTACATATGCATTAAATGAATAAACTAAAGAAAAATATAGATTAAAACAAAAAAAGAAAAAAAATACGAAAAAAGCTCGATAAACTACTTAAATAGAAAAAAAAGTCATATTTAGGTATTTTGTTAGTGCATCAATTCAAAACCTGTACATATAAATAGGAAAAAAAGAGACATAAGTCTAGTTAATGAATTGCCGAATGATATTTATTAAACGAGTCAGACAATTAGCTTTAAAAAATAATTGAAGCATAGTTATTGCTAATTGTTTTACTGTTATTCCTTATAAAACAGGATGATACTGCCTCTTAAAAGAGTTAATCAAGCTTAATAGAGAGTTTTATACTGTTTTCTCGGTTAACAAAGAGATGATCTTATCCTTTGAACGCGAAAGTCGAAATACGCAAAATATTATAAAGTTATCGCCAACTAACGTAGCATACATATTAGTTGTTTTTTACCGCACATGTGCAATCAAGTAAATTATTGGTTTTATGGTAGATCAATTTTTGTTAAGTTTACTGTTGATGGATCAAATTCCAATAAATAATCATTAATAGTTTCTTGAGTGAAACATTACATGTACAGTCAACATTTTTTTTATATCATCGTCATAGACGATTTGTATGTTACCGATCTTACTCATATACTTATAGTATTAGAAGAGAAAGAGATATTTTTTATATGCAATATATTTACTAGACGACAGGAAAGAAATTAAAAAAAAAAAAATGCAATAGTTGAATTCTTCGCATTATTACTTTCAATGTTTTTTAATGGTTTTATTTAAGACGTGTTTGAGTATTGGAATTATCGCATAACCACTTTATTGATGTTATACCTACATACGTTGCTTTCTTGTAGATCTATTCCAGATACAAGATGTTCAATTCTATACAATTTTATTAACGATGTGTACGTTATGTCTAATTTGAATTTGCTGCTACAACAAAAGATATTTTTATTTAACATTAGGCTAGTTGAATGATATCTATTAGTCTTATGACTTTTATTTATTGACTGTGATTTCCGCTACTATAGATCTATGTAATATATACATTACTATGTATCTTAACTCAGTGAGGACTTTAAAGAATTTTTTTTTATTTTCCAAATGAAAAAAAGACAATATTTGTAAAAGACTCCATAGAATTTCCATGTATGAGTCTCGTATGCTAGAATGCGTGTGTATATTTTTCAAGTGTGCCGAAATAATGTCGAGTGTAAAATCGGTTGTGGTTTTTTGGTTTAAGAAATGACAATAACAAAAATCTAAAAAAAAAAAAAAAAAAAAAAAAAAAAAAAAAAAAAAAAAAAAAAAAAAAAAA